CATAGTAATTGTTATATAACACCTACCGCTGAGAATGATGAGAATTGTTGAGAATTCAATTTGATCAATTTTCTGGAATGTTTACAATTGTTCTATAATCAAACCAATATACAATAACAAATTTGAATTTAAAACAATTCAAACATTTGGTTAAAAAAAAAATCGAAATATATAAAAATATTTATAATAATGTCTGAAATGTTATCAATACACCTAACTACTCAATGAAGAATAAACGTAGTTGAAAACAAAAAATTGCATCTAAAATAGTACAGTAGAAGCTGTTCTTCAGGTTAAGCCTTAATGCTCTCCCTCTCCTGTGGGGAGATTTCGAAAAATTCCTTGTTAGTGTGCGTTTTTATGATATACCGCAACTGTGTACCAAATTTCACCTCTTTAGGTTCAGTGGTTTGCTCTGGGCGATGATGAATTAGTCTGTCAGTCAGAACAAGTGATGTTATATATTTAGATTCAGATTGCTTTTTGTCTATTTACATATTTCCTATAGACGGACTTATCAAGCCACAGAACAGAATGACCTTCAGACTCAAATTTCTTCTATGTATTTATTATGATATGCATTTAGGACCTCAGACATGATAAATAGATCTCTTTATGGATTTCTAAATATATGCACATACATTATTAGTTTTGTAGTAAAAACTTCTCAACATATGTATTTGTATGTGACAAATCCACTAAAAAGATACATTTTATCCTGGACACACAAATTTGGAAAAATTCTGTACTATTCAATACAAAAATATGGAATTGCATGAATCCATATTGCATCCAATTTTACACTCTGAAAATTTACAAGCTATATCTCATATAAACAAACTAACACATATTTGGGAACTGGAGGGAAACACACCTAAAAGCAAACTAAATGCAGATGTCTAAGTGAGAGGTACTTGTTAGGAGGTCTTATTAGGTCCAAAATGCATATTGTAATAAATACATAGAAGAAAATTGACTCTCAAGTACCGTGGCTGTCCAGTTTAATAAGTCTGTCTATATGAAAAGTGCACTAGCACAAAACATAGGAAAAAAAATAACATTAATTCTTTCCTTCTTATCTGTCATATTTTATCTGTAAAAGAATAAACAAGAATCAATGTAACTCCTACAGTTTTAGAATTATGGAACACCCTATACACGAGAAAATCACAAATTAAAGTTAAAATTTTCCTGCAATAAATTGAATGGAAAAATTAATCTCATTTTGCAAAAATTAGTATCATCGTGTTATTTATACTAATGATTGACTCAAACATCTCCCAGTTGTCTTTTGCCTTTTCTTTACTATTTTCAAGAATTAGGAATATTTTGTATTTGAAAAATAAATTAATAAAATTTTACATCATTTATTTTCAGTATCTAATACATTTTTTTATTTTTATGAACGACTCTTAACTGTTCATATTTATATAATTTAAACAGCTTTCAATTTTACCTAGTTCAGTATTTGCTGTGTAAATGAAAATTATGCAGCAAAAATAAATTAAATTTCATGTCTTTCTATTCCAAAGTCAAAGTGCAGTTTTATAGGGAAGGAGTTTATTCCATCAATCAATAAGTTCGAGTGCATGTACACTGCCGAAGCCTACTGACCCACTTATGGTAAACTCTATACATAAAGAACAGTATATTGAAATTATGCAATAAAAATTCAATATAGAATTAAATTTTGAGAATATTTGAAAATTATAACCCATTTTCAGGAGCTTCTACAAATAATAAGAAATTAAAAATTTCAAGATTCATAATTATAACATTTTTGAAAATGAAATAGTAATTGCTATATGTTAATTTTTATTTACATCAAAATTTAATATCAAAATACTTAAAATTTAGTCTGTTAAAATGATTTAAGATAAAAGAAAACATCAAGTTCAGACATGACTAATGAAGCCTTTAATCACTCTTTTCAAACTGCAGTTAAATAATAATCAAACATCAACAAAAAACCTTTAAAATGCAGCTTTTTATTAACTAATCAAACATTTTCGGCCATTTGAATAACCTTCATTAGGAATAGAAATTGAAATAATTTCAATTTTTATAAAACAAAGTTTCTTATGGAATGATTTTGAATGTTTGAATTTTCATTGCTGTCTAGTGTGCAAGCCCATAAAAATACAATATGTATGGATTACTTGTACAAATATATATATTTGTACAAGTAATCCATACATATTGTATTTTTATGGGCTTGCACACTAGACAGCAATGAAAATTCAAACATTCAAAATCNTACTTATATATATATATATATATATATATGATTTTATTCTTATTTTATATTTATATAACTAAATAAAAATAAAATATAAATAAATAAAACATGAACACAACTGTGCCTAATTCCTTAACAGTTCATCCCTTTTTATACTAACATTTGATTAGTTAATAAAAAGATGCATTTGAAAGGTTTTTTGTCAATGTTTGAAGCCTTTAATCTTTGCATTAACATTTATAGAAAAATTTTAAGTTTTTATGTTTTTGAAATTAATCCACTCTGTTAGGTGTTACCAACAGACATTTGCTCTCTATTATGGAAAATCAAAACTAGAAAGCTTTCAATGATGGAAAGGAAGCACCAGTTGCAATTCATTCAAAACTCTTAAATAAACACTGAAAGTTTTCTCTAGAAATATTTAAATTAATATTTCTAGCTTTGATATTTGAAATTAAAGAAATTCCATTTTCCTATTTTCTTTCTAGCACTTTCATTTGCCCTATTTATTCTCTAATTATCATCTTTTACAGAAAATAAGTAATGACACTAACAATTATTTATTGTGACATTGTCACAATGCCAGCTGAAATTTTTAATCATATTTTAATTTATTTCATTTAAAATATATGCTCTCCACTTCAAATTATTTGTGGCTTGCCCCTGTACATCATACTTTTCCTTTAACAATAGAGTTGTGGTCATCTAACTAACATCTTTCAGGGGAAGTTTTTGAATTGAAATAACATGATTTCCAGTTTGCATCAGAAATTCATATATAGTTAATTGGGACCTTCTGCTCCAAAGTTTTCATATTTGATCTCATCTTCCATCTATCTAATTCTGTTCTTGAGATTAAGGAAAGACAGTGGGAATTTATAGGTCTACATTTTTTTCAAATTGCAACCCAATAAGACTTTCCTTTAATGCTGCATATAAGAGGTAATATGATCCATTATTTTTAGAGCTTTATGTCACATAAGAGTATACAATAATAAAATATTCTCAAGATAAACTGGATTTAATGCAATTAGATAAAGAAACACATTTCCTGATTTCCAGCAGTAGTTTAATACCATAGTAACATTTTTGACCTATTCATAGGTCTTCCTCACTTAGGACAAATGAATCAAATATATTAAATAGCATTTTGAGATTAAAAGTGAATAAAATACAAATTTACAAATTTGGAAATTCTAAACTTAAACATATATAATACAATGATAACCTTGCATATATCTAAAATTATTCTTAAAATCATTACAAAATACACAAAAATTAAATTTGTTCTGGAAAGCCAATGAAGATATCCAATAGAAAATGCTCTTGTAACATCACTTACTTTGTTTTATTCCTTGTATTTAATATGTGCAATATGTTATAAAACACTAATTGTAAAAAATTAATTCTGTTGAAAAAATTTGCAACTTCCACAATCAAGTAACAGTTTTAAATTATTTTGTGCCCTAGACAAATGTAAAAGTGTGATTTATATAAGCCTTTTTAAATATCTTTATATAAAGTTAGGCTCATGCCATGTGCTTTTCAATGTTGCTTATTCAATAGCCACTATAGTTAATGAAGTAACTGTTACACCTTTAACAGTAGATATGGTACAAGAAATGCTAACATTTTTCACTCAGTTAACAGGTCATCTTCAAGTATGAACAGCGCCAGCTTGATGGTACCCGAGGCAAAACCGATTTTTACTACTACTGCTTCCAGAAGAGTTGAACATTTCTAGAGCTGACATGATTCTATGAATTATTTATAAACAACTTTAAGGTACAAGAATTCAGTGTATTCGGTCCATTATTTTTTCTCCATTAGAACATTTTTGATCACTCATTTTGCAGCTTGAGGCAGTCAGTTCATCATCTCACCCATCGAGCTGGCCAGTGATTGATCAGACATGTGATCATTCCTTTTATTATCTAAACAATAATAAGATTGTAATTCTCCCAGTGTTAGCTCTATGTAGAGTTGTAAACGACTCTATACAAACAGTGTGAAAGAACTAAATTCAAATGGAAGTCTACTTGACAAAGAATTGCAAAAACTATTGCACCAACCTGATAACAACTAAGAACCATGCAAAATTACTACCTAAATTATGGAATTTTGACATAAAATAACAAAATCATCTTAATATATTTGTTCATTTCCCTTATAATAAGAATATAAGTTATGCAAAGTCTCCAAGATTGTTACTCTCGTATTAAAAAATGTTACGTAAAGAATAAGCTTACTTTGTTACTGAAGCAAATTAATTTTTAATAATTATCACACTTCCCACACCATATAATAAGAAGCAAAGTTATCAATATGTTTTTGGCATAAGAAAACTCCAGATGGAAAACATTAAAATACTTCTATCATAGATTAAGCATTACATTAAACATTCCAACCTCTACAGGATGTTTATTTACAATATTTTAAGTAAATTAAACTCATTTAAAAGGAATTTACATGGCAACTTCACTTCAAGTAGAAGCTTGTGAAGATTTTATATATAAAAAAAAATAAATACTCATACAAGTAATAGCATATCTGATTTTGATTAATAGGATAATTTAATGCTTAAAATAGAAATAAAATGTGCTTTTCTGCTGAATTAAGGCAAAAATATTGCATTGGAGTGTAATTGATACCAGTGATGGACCAGCTGATTAATCAATTTCACTCATTTATTTGTAATTTTCTGGTTTAAATTATGTTTTTTAGGTAATTTACGAGTAAAATAAGAAAAAATAATACTTACTGATGATCTTTTAATGAAATTTACATCAAAAATCGACTTGGCAGAATCCAATTTGATAAAAAAAATAAAATAAAATAAATGTTCTTCCCCCTTTCAGCAGAATCTCGACAACATGGCACAAATGACGTCAAGCGATGTAAACATTATGGTTGGTTATTGTTCACGATGACGATCTATAACGACGATATCTTATTCGTTATCGTCCGATGACGTAAACGAATTGTCATGTAATATTCCGGGAATATTACGACAATGTAGGGAAATGACGTGTCAAAAGGGAAAAGATCAGAGGAAATTTCTTATTACGGAATCTTTCTACTCTTTCGAAATTAAATTTAATTATTTGTACTTATTATAATTAACGGTTACGAATATAATTTTTATAAATTAATTAAGTTTATTTTAAATTCTAAAAGAGGTTTATAGGGAAAATTGCTTTAAGGTTTTGAGTTGGAGGTTATTTTATGTAAAACAAAATGGCGACCTCCTTGTGTCGTTTAGGATGCAAAACAAATTTGGTAAAATTTGTTGATTTTTACATTAAACACCAAATTTTTTTTATATCTAATGAATATATAACCTGTAATTTAACATATTCTACACTTATAACTAAAATAAAAGCGGATTATTTCCATTTATTACTTTATATATGTAAGTTCACGTGTATAACAACTGCATTCGTTATTTTAACTTACTTTGTATTAATGAAACAACTTAAACGCTTATAATATGATATCTAAACAGCTATTTGTTTGATGTTAGGAAAGTTTAATGGGTCATTGTTCAGTTTTGTTTTGCTGATGATTAAAAAAAGAATGTTTATTATTTAACAAATAATAATGTCCTTGTCCTACTGAAACAATGAAAAACAAACTTTCTCCTTCAATATCCTTGCATAGATTCTACATTTGCATGTAAACATTACAGATAAAATGAACTTTGTTTGGTTAATGTTTACTGAATCGAGCACTTATCAATAGTTATTTGCATAAAACAATCAATAAGGAGTTCTACTTACCTAATTTCATAATGTCCCATTTTAGATAACTGTTTTAAGTGCAAGAGTATGGGAATTTATTCTTATTTATGTCTGAAATATTATCATTTGAATCATAATTGTATTATAAATAATTTTAAAGTTTTGTTTGACAGTATGCAATATGCTGCTGAATGGCTAGATTAGAAATTGCACAAATGTAATAAAAGTTTATTGTTATATTGGTATATAGAATACTAATTTCAACTTGTTTTAATTTGCCTTTGGATTAATGTACTTGTGCATATTTAAAAATAGGTTCTTTAACAAAAGAGGTAATAATGTTAGCAGTGCAAAATAATAAATTTTCTTTAAAATTTATAAAGCAAAGAAAAGTTAAAAATTTAGCATAATTTATTAAGAATAAATGTTTTCTGGCCATCTTCAATAGTTATTTTCAGGTACTAAATTGGAATATATTCCTTCTGGAACCTGTTAATGATTCCTTACTTTATAACTGTTATATTTATCTGGTTAAAAGTTTTTTAAAATTTATATTTTCAGTCATACAATTGGCAGATTTTTTAGTTATGAATAGTGCAAAGTAATTTTTTATGCTCAATATCTAGTTATTCCTCATTAAAAGTTTTGCTGAATCAATAAATTATTATAATAGGATAATTAAATAATAATTTCAGGTGTGCAAAGCAACTGTTTACCACAGGTGCACAAGATCTTAGCTACAAGTCTATTTTCAAATTGTTTAATAACAATTTCAAGATTGCTACATGATTAGTGCTTTAAATCTTAACAGAAAATTATCATCAATCTGTGCTCATTAGTTTAAAAAATTTTCTTTATTAGTACACAGTAGCAAGTTACAACAAGGCTTCTTTCATGCAATTTCGTTACAGTTTGCGAGTTTGTGTGCCAATATTCAATTGAAGTTTAGCTTAAAAATTTACTGTCTAAATTTTACAAAGTTGTAACTCGAATGTTACATGTAAATTAAACATTGTAAAGTCATATTTATCATCTTTAGATATAAATAAACTATTAAGTTAGAACTGTAAATTACATTTAACCTACCCTAACTGGGCATGCAATAAAAAAAATATACTAAATAACTAAATGACACATCCTCTTGTGATAACGCTGCACTGGAACAGTGAGATTGAACTGGTTCAACAAGTTACAAAAATTAATTTTTTATTTTAAATTTATATGTAGATCAGCACAATCAAATATCTGGTATTGGAAAAATGAAAGCTAGTCAAATTAAATAGAAAAGTGAATGTGATTAGTGAATAGACAATCTGCCAGATTATCCATTGGGCTTTATATTATGGAGAGTTTAGGTAAAGTTATAATGTACAAGTTTGAGTTGTTAAGAATCTGAATGTTTTATAGGAAAATAAAGGACAAAAGTTACAGTAAATAGATTAAACTTTAAACCTTTAAATATGTAAATGAGTTCTTTCATAAGTTGAAATTATTAAAATTAATAAGTCCTTTGATTACTCATTTAAGCAATTCACATAGTTAATTGACTTCTGGGCCTTCTTGTATATTAAAGTATTTATTATAACAATGTAAATTTGGTAAGACTTTAATGAAATCAAGAATTTACAAGCAAATATAATCAAACAAATTTTTTCAAGTTTTTTTCAAACTTGAGGTTGAATTTATGAAAAATGAAAATTATAAATATTTTTAATATAATAAATAAATTAATTAATTCATGTTATTTCTCTATACAATTATATAGAAATGAATTATGCAAAATGGGAAATCTATAGTTACTTGTACAAAAACTTGCAACTAATTTGAGAAAAAATAATTTATAAATTGTGGAAATGCTAAGCTGCTTTCAAATATGTTTTTAAAATGTAGTTAGGAATTTATTGAGAATAATATCTTGTCTAGTCAGATTGGTTTTTTTTTATTTTTTCCTTCTGTTAATACAGTATTTTTGATACATTCATCCAGTTTTTAAGCTATGTTATCATATTTTATCTTTTATTTCTCTTGCTTTAGCTACCAAACTGGAAACTATGTATGATAAAGTCCAATTATAATGATTAGAAACAGATAAAATAATTTTCCTCATAGTTTTATCTCATATATTTATAGATCAAGTGGTTGATTTTTATATTTTTTTCTCTGTTCTTAATCTGCTTCTGTGACATCTTTTTCACGTCATTTATATAGATTCGTATTTGAATAATGTTTTGAAATGATTTGGTACAATGCATTAATAAGTGGTATTTTTAAGAAATACTTAAGTATAAGACAGAATTGCTCATAAATTTTATTTGTTATAAGTTTTTTTTATACAGACTGTTACATCCGCAATTTTCTTACCTTTCAGATTTTTAAGCATTGTTTGTGGCTTCGCCCAAACAGAAGTATACATTTAACTGCTGCCTTGGAAAAAACACAAGCAGGAAAATATAAGGTGTCCCTCAATCATGACAAGCCATTAACTTATGAACAGGCAAATGCCCCTCATAGGATTGGCCATCGCAAAGCTTGGAACTCCTGGAACACGAGTAAGCTCATAAAATCTTTAATATCCTTGTTGAACTTTTATTTTTATGCACTTTTAATATATCAACAAGACAAAATTTCCATCCTAAAATGCTTGCGTGTTTTAGTTATCTGAAAAAAATGAAATCCTTGCATTTTTTTTTTGGAATTGATTTGTAGGAAAAAATGCTGTTGATAAAAGGAAAGAATTTATTCGGCAGTGATGCATATTACATTTATGTGCATGCATTTTTACTTGATAGTTTCTCGTTATTTTTATTTTTTGACCAAAAGCAATTTAAGATCTTTATCTACAAGGAAATGATTTAAAGATTTTGTATGATTCTTGAACCTTATAATATTTTATCAAATAATAAGAATACAAATAACTTACAAGTTACAAAAGATAATTTTTCCTCCTCTTTGCATACAATTATAATAGTGTAATAATTAATTTTTTATTGACTTAGGTTGTCTGTTGGATGGACCTAGAGCTTCAGAAACTGCAGTTGAGGATATCTTCATAAGAAAATTCATGTTTGGAACGTGGCATAGACTTTTTCTTTCAGAAGTCATCATCAAGCGGAGGCATAACATGATTTTTATTGGTGGACTCATCAAGCAGGCTCTCATTCCAAGGAAGATATATTTTCTTATCGGATATACAGAAGAAATATTGAGTTACATCCTAAAATGTCCAGTTAAGTTAGAGTTACAGAGTGTAGAAAACCCAAAAGATGTTATCTTTAAGTATATTTAAATTGATTATAATTAAAATTAGATCTTTAATAAACATCAATTAAAATAAATACACAAGTGTATAATACATGTACTAACTTTTGTAAATCACACTTGCATAAATTTCTACATGGTTGCCAGATAACACCATTTTCCACTTTACTTCAGCCAAGTGCTGCATGGATATTTAAAATTCAAAAAATACAAATATTGGTCATTGAACCACTACAGTTCTACTAGTTTAAGTACAGTAAGGCTTCTGTTTTTTCATTGCCGACAAAAATTATGGCGAAAGCTCAGATCAGAAAGCAGCAAAAAAAAAATAATAATAATAACTATTTTGCATTTGACGTCCCGAAACCGTACAAGGCAGCGAGACATCAATAGGGTTTCAACCGTCGACGATTCCTAATTACGATACCAGTCCTCCTAATGATTGGCAACCCGTCACTCGAAAAACTGATTAAGTCACATCACAGAATGAGAGGTCCCACCTAGATTAATTTAGAGATTAATATTCGCCCTTCTCTGGCGGAAAGTCAAAGTGCCAGGGTCGCTCACACTTTTAATTTCTACTCAACAGCACACCTGATATGGGTTAGATAATATCTGGCAGATTAAAATACCGTTAGTTATATGGCCAACAGGATTCTATCATTAGCAGGGTTATAAAAGTAAAAGTGTGGCATCTCATCCGTGTCTATCTTTACTCATTAAATTATTATTTAAAAAAAAAAAAAAAGGCATTTGATATCAGTTTGTGAAGATAGGAGGGATATTGCTTGAGGTGTTTATTTCTTAAAATACTTCAGGTTTTTGCATACAGATGGCAACACTACTGAGTGAATGCCTGAATCATCCTGACATCCCTGTTAATGTTACAATGGCACAGATGCTATAGATCCAGGTTACAGCGTGGATTTTTGAAGTCTAGGTGCTACTTTTGATCCCTAATAATCTGTCAGTAAGGCTTTAAGAATTTTTCTCACACTTGAAATGTGTTAAGAATGAAAATCACTTGTTTTTTGAATAAATTTAAAGCTGACCGACTAACTTGATAGCCGGAAATACATCGCTTCATTAACAGCAAGGAGGAGGCTATCTCGACAGGATGTCGAGTTAGAGACAAGATCGAAGAGCCCCGCCCCGTTTATGGGAAGTTTTACTACCGACCTATTTCGCGCGCCGCAGGTCAAGTGTGGGCCATCGTCTGACCCCCGAAGGGTCACAGAGCACACCAATGTAAAAATAATCAAGGTCGCTTCCCGAATGAAACGAATACCAAAGTCTCCCCAATTCTGGTTACGACGGGGTCGAGATGTGACGTCACGGATTACTAGAAAACTTTTCTGTGTTGGTTTTTCTCTACTCGAACAAGACGATTTTCCGGTTGAGGGGTCGCCAAATCGCGACAATCGAAGTGAAAATATTTTCGAATTATAGAGGTTATTGGCGGTTAACCCCCCATCGATCTGTCTGGACAGGTACGTAATGGGGATGCGGTTTAAGTCTACAACTTTCCTCCCCATTCTGTGGTGGGAGTCTGCAACTTTACCGCCCTCAGAAGGGGAACTACGCAATTTCGGTATGGATTAACGTAGTTTTATTGGTGCGGATTATTCATAGATGGAAAAGGACATAGCTTTAGAAAAGATACGGCCTCGCATATTTGAACTTATTCCTACGAGGCGGAGCATAAAGGGCCTTATAGCTTAGGATCATAACTGCATAGAGAACACAATACAGGCCCTTGAACTCTCTCCACGTTAGCATCTCTGCTTTATCGGGGTTGAAAGAAAGGGATTTTTGCTGACTTTCTCCATCATTTTGTAACGCGTAATTCTAGAAAGTCCTTTTTTTTTAACGTGACTCAATGCTTCAGCAAACTTTCTAGAGAAGTGAAAACTGGTTAAACATTATCGAAAGCTGGAGGGGATGTACACAGGTGTAATGCGCTCTGCTTCTGTAAACACGTGCTAAGCGATTAGACCAGGTGTGCTTCGGACACCAAAGAAGAAAAGTGGTGGTAACAGGTGATGCTATCCGGTGTGAGAATGCAGGTCAGACATTACTATCTTAATTGCTTCCCTTTGCGATCACACATCTGCAATTTAATTGGGTCATTGACTCGTTCTTCGCCGCTAATCTAGTTATGTGTTCCAATATGCCCAATGACGATTTATTTGGCACTTATTAAATCGCATGTAACGTTATTGATGACGTGTGAAAAGGATACTTCTTTACCTTTCAAACCTTTTTTTTCGTGTGTGAAGACAAGAACATTTGTTAGGCTCTAAATGAGCTTTAGGACGGAAAAAAACTCTATTATGTGTCTTGAACGTCCGCCATTTTACAAATGACACAATAAAGGAGTTGGAAATTCTAAAATTATAGAGAGAAATTTCGTTTAATTTGTTGGAAAAATAGAATTTCATAAATTCAGGAAGGTATTTTTCCCTGAATTTTTCAATTATTTTTTATTTGTACTACAAGATTTTTAAAAAAAGATGATAATTTTTTTCTAACTTAAAATTGCTGAACAGGCAAATTTAATTGAAAATTCTCTAAAAATTTTCTTGCAATCAATTTAATGGATGAATTAGTCAAGATTTTAAAACAAAAATTGCCTTTTTTTCCTCATAAATCTGATAATTTTGAAGCCTTAGAAAAATTATTTTAGAGCAGGGTTGAACAGACACAATATAAATTTAGCAAAAAGTTAATAAAAAAAAAACATATTTAAATTTTATAATTTAACAAAAATAAAAAAATTCTTAAGTCTGAGATAAATAATGATTAAAACATGCATAAAAATACTCATATAAGATGTGTTATGACATACTTCCACTCTGTCATTTCTATAAAAAAAATCATAGATGTTTGCAACTCCCTAAAAATGAATTGTTTCTCTGATTTATAAATTAAAAAGTATAAGTTAATTGTATACAAAGTGTTGAAAGTTACAGAAATAATGTCCACACAGGTTGTGTGTATACATAAATATGTAATGTTATGAGTCCTGAGAAAGATAAATGTTGGAGAGACAGGGTCTCCAACATTAACAATCCTAGGAACTCTGAAGGGGCTTTGTAACAGAAAAATACAGGGACTCTTACATACACATAATCCCTGAGACTAAATACAGTAATTATTGGAGAGTTCCTGTTAACCCTGTGAAGGATCACAGGAACTCTAAACGCCTAACAAGTTTACATATATACAATGTTTTAGTTTTAAGGCAACTTCTATGAGATATATGCCCTATATATAGCCTATATATATAAATCCTTAAATGTAAAACAAAGGGAATTGCATAAAGGACTCTCCTATGAGATGCAAATTACGAATTCTATCTGTTTTACAATCATGCTTCAAATCTATGTGATTTTATGGCTTTAAATTCTAGATTTTTTAAAAATCTCGAATAAAATATAGTTTAAAGTACAGAAAAACCTTTTATTATTACGTTACTCTTCCAGAAAAAGCATCACCTGTGACGATTCGCTACTAGAAAAGTATCGTTTGGATTGAGATTCAGTGAATTACAATTAAATAAAAATTTATTTAATTGTCATTAAATTAATAATAAAAAATAAAATGAAAAAAAAATCAGTAGTTCATAAATTAATAAAACCGGTTATCTACTCATTTTTATTTATAAATTCAACAATGCATTTATTTATTTATTTTATTTTATTTTTTCTTAATTTTTTCCTGTCGTCGAGTAAAGAGATGCTCTAATGATTATAAAATAATAATAATAAATTTTTCCACAGTTTACTTTATATGGTGTGGGGTATTTTCCGTGACATAAAAGTCATGTGATATTTAGTAAAAAAACATTGAAAATAAAGATGGCTTCTGGCTTTACAACAAAGAATTAAAGAATCATTTCCAATAAAAATCTAGAATAATTACATTCTAGACTTGTTTCAGGAAATTTATATTCTTTAATCTATAATTTAGAACAAGTGTGGAATGTAGATAACTTCTGTAATCTAGAATATACAGTAGATTATAGTTTTGATGCTGTATAAAATCTAGATAACAACAAAACACCGCATTTTTATAATCTAGTATTATTCTAGGTAGTGCGAAAATTCTATATATTAACTTCTAGAGTAAATCTATAAGCTCTAAAAACATTCTAGATTACACAGTTTTCTATATCCTATATAATATAGAATGTTCGTATGTTCCTAGAAAATGTCGAAATACTATAACTCTACAAATTCTAGACTATAAAACTATAAAATTTAGGGTTCTCTATAACCATAAAATTTGGAATATTCTATATAGAATATAGATATAGAACAGGGATAACGCCAAATGTATCTTTTTTCTGTTCTAGAACTGTGCTAGAATTAACACCAAAAATAGCATTATTAAATGGGCTTTTTTGGGTTTAATGCAGTCTCCTTCTCTTCCAATCATGTGACTCCAATCTGTAATTCGGGAAAAGGTAACGGACCTCGTTAACGTCTAGAATAATCTAAAGAGGATTATAACAATTTCAACGCTTCTATTGTTACAAGTTAATTGCCTTCTACGCTAATTTGTAACCAAGATAATGGCTGATCCCTTTAAGTTAATAGAGTTAACTGTTTGACAGTCGAGCCAATTAAGATGTTAACTAGTCGTAGGGCCTAAAGGCCTACTAACCGAGTAGCGAGTCAGTTTTCTACAAGCAGCTGTGCACCCAGGGGCTAAAACAAGAAAAGATTACTGTACAGTTCTATAATTTAATAGATTTTTCTTAGTTTTGGAACCATGAAGTAGAAATTAAACTAAACTAGAAGGCTTTCTATTTATGTTATATTTTAATGCTATTAATTTACTCAACGGAATCAGAAATACAGTCCTCTGAAGAATTATAACCCGAGGGGGTTGATTTTTAAATTAGAAATACCAGCACCGACTTGCCAGCATTAACATAGGAAAGAGTTAAAGGAGCCTTTAACATCTCGGCACCACAAGTTGGTAAAAATCTCGAGGTGGGGGCAAAGCATTCGGCACTTTTCGCATGATAATTGTAAATGTACCCATTAAGCGGGGGATGGCGATGAGAAAACTAGAAAAATCGAGTTCCCATCACCTGGGAGGTATAAAGGTTGCTTAACGAGAACACCGTTGGTGTCATCTTTACGATCGAAAAATTTAGCATTTGACTTGTAA